CAATCTATCGAAAGAGAAAGCCTGGACAGAGTTAATATAACGCTTCCAGGACAACAATCAGTTCTAATAGCAGAGGTTGCTAAAGTTGCCAAGGGTCCTGTAATTCTTGTTATCATGTCTGGAGGTGGCATGGACGTACAATTTGCAGTCGATAATCCTAAGATAACTAGCATTCTTTGGGTTGGTTTCCCTGGAGAAGCCGGTGGTGCTGCCTTAGCAGACGTCATATTTGGATATTACAATCCAAGTCTGCCTCTCATTTCCATTTTCAAGAAAGTTACATCAAATTAAGATCTCTATTTTCTCTATATTGACTAAATAGCTTAAATTATTGAATCTTGTAGGTGGAAGACTACCAATGACATGGTATCCACAATCATATGCAGACGCGGTTCCAATGACTATTATGAACATGAGGCCTGATCCTGCCACAAACTACCCTGGCAGGACTTATAGGTTCTATACCGGTCCAACTGTTTTCACATTTGGTCATGGACTAAGCTACTCTCAGTTCAAACACCGCCTAGATCAAGCGCCAACATTTGTATCCATCCCCCTCGAGGAAAAACATACTTGTCGTTCAACAAAGTGCAAGTCTATTGATACTGTTGAGCAAAGTTGCAGCAATGTGGGATTTAATGTTCATCTTAGAGTTAAAAATATGGGGAAGATTAGTGGAAGCCATACAATTTTCTTATTCAATTCACCTCCCTCAGTCCATAATGCACCTCAGAAGCATTTGTTGGGGTTTAAGAAAGTCCATTTGACAGCACAAGAAGAAGGGGTTGTTAAGTTCAATGTAGATGTTTGCAAGCATTTGAGTGTACATGATGAGCTTGGAAATAAGAAAGTTGCATTAGGACAACATGTTCTTCATATAGGAGATTTGAAACATTCCTTCACTGTGAGGATTTGAAGAACTCAAGATAACTTCATTTTCTTTTTCTCTCAAAAGAGAAAAAGAGAAATATGACAAGATGAAAAAATCCAAACATTGAATGAATTGAGACAACTGTAACAAGTTTCTTGTTTTTTTGCCGATTTATTAATCTTAACTAGAGGAATCAAAATCTTGAAGTGAAATGAAGCTATCTACAAATTCTTGTATATTTCTTCCAGATATCATATATATTATTGTTACCTCAAAAACTCCGATATAGGGTGTTCAATATATGTTATATATCATTACAATCTAATATTTTACCTATATATACAGCGTAATTTTTCGACGAAGGATGGTCAACTGACCACCCTTAGGCCTATGTACCTTCGCCCCTGCTCATAAAGAGACAGTACTCAAATACATTGATCATTTTAGCATTTAAACAAACTTTAGGAGGCAAAATAAATCTACATAGTATAGTTACCCTCCAAAATAATTGTCACGACCGAAAATTCACCTAGTCGTGATGACACCTAACTTAACCCGCTAGTTAAGCCAAATAACAGTCAACACAACTCCTATGAAATTAATAAGTGAAATAACCGAATTTCTACACAATAACCCAATGATTGGTTGGACAAGTCATGAGCCACTAAAATATAGATCTACAAAGCTAGTATGAAATAAATACAACATATGTTTGGAATGTACATAAACATATTACAATCTAAAACTACCAAGGATAAATGATAGCTATATCCGGAAAAGCAAGTACATCTTCAGTGCCAGCTCCCGTCATCCACATCATCTCAGCTCCAAGATCTGCACACAAGGTGCAGAAGTGTAGTATGAGTACAACCGACCCCAAGTACTCAGCAAGTATCATAACTAACCTCGGCGAGATAATAGAAGCAAAAATTATAAATGACACTCGTCATTCACCTGCACAATTCATAAATTCCAACAAGTACAGAACAATAATATGATCAAATCATGAAATCACAGATAAAACTATCTTGGTGCACACAATTTTCTTAAAGTGCGTTGCTAAGACAACAAGCTAGCATATACGGGAAAATATGCAAATAAATCAGCTAAGTGATGGCCATTTTTCCATCCTTGTACAGAAGCAACAAAGCCTCAGTATTCAGGCTTTAGACCATGGATGATGATCCGCTTCATCTTCGTCTCTCCAATTGGAGCTTGTGTACCTAACTCTGAGATCTCTCAGCATAGTACATTTACCTTATGAAATTATTCTGCAAATGTCATGTTGTATTGTGCTATCGAGAGTAATTCACTCTCTAAGAGTTGAAGCCTCGTATCATTTTTCTTTGAAAATAGCTTGGCGAACGTATCACCAGCTTTCTTAGGGGTGGTGACATCTCGCATATGCTCTAGCACATCCTCTTCAGCCGTCGCCTTCAAAGCACACATACCTTTGCCCGCTTTTATCTTCCATTTCCTCAATGTGCCGTTTGCATCTTCTGCTTCTGGTTCCTTGCTACCAATAACACCTCCCACATATCTTGCCCTTGCATAAAAGACAATCATGCAAGTTGAGCATGTATTGTAGTTACTGTTGTTGAGCTTTTTCATTCCGCCAACAGTTTGTCGACAACAAAAAATCTCATAATAAAGGAAACTACAATAGATGATCTCCCAAAGCTATTGAAAAACATAAGGGCTAAGACACAACAATCTTTCAGGCTGTTACTAAAGGATATAGAAGCTTTTCTTGTTCTAAAATAAATACTCAAAAGCAAGATTATATCTGTAAAAGCAGAGACAAAACAAACCTAATAAATTTTCTTGGAAGTAGGTAACATTCAAGGTAGATGAGGCCTTTATATAGGCATCCAAGACCATGTATATTACATCATACTTGCCCACTAACACAACAAATCCAATAGCTATAAAACTGAAAATTACTTCTACTAACTTCCCCTGACCAACAACAACAACAACAACATACCCAATATTATCTCATACCGTGGGGTCTGGGAAGGCTAGTGTGTACGCACACCTTACCCCTACCTTGCGAGGATTAACTTCCCATGACCACTAAGAATAATAGTGGCATTACATGCTAAGAATCAGGTTAGTTACAGGGAAATATCAGACTAATAACTAAAGACTTAGTGTTAAACTGAAAATCAAAAGGCTGGAGTTGGTCTTTTAACAGGTAGGGGAACCAAAAAGGGAAACCATGATATGCACAACAATGTTATTGATAATGGGTATAAGTTGGTTCTTGGTTTGGGCCCAACACATACTATGTAATCTAATGACTATTATCCTGTTGGAGGTAATAAAAATAAAGGGATTACTACTTCATTGAATCAGGGATTGCTATCTGAGGGTGATTCAATTCTCAAACTTGGGCTATCTGAGAGGACTAATGAAATTTCTGACATGCTTGAGTTTTCTACTGCCACTCAGCGTAATTCTGGTCAACCTAGTCATTTTTATCAATTATCTTCAGATGATAGGCGTACAGTTCCTATTGTCGATAAAGGTTCTACACCGGCAAAGAAGTCAGGTAGATACATGCCATCACTTCTTCTGGCACCAAGAATGGGAAACAACTCTATATCCTTGCAAGCTGCAGATATGTTAGAGAAGGATGCAAAACGTTGCCATTTCCCTGAGCTGAGCTCTAAACCTTATGTTATCTCTGACTATTCAAGGAATACCATCTCTGAGCCAACTACAAAGGCTACATCCTCGGAGCATAGGACTAGCAATTTCAAGAGATGTGAGTTTGTAGGATGTACAAAAGGAGCCCGAGGCCGGGAAAAGAGTCCTTGTATTGGGCATGGGGGCGGATAGAGATGCCAGAAGCCTGGCTGCAATAAAAAAGGTGCTGAGAGCAGGACTGTATACTGTAAAGCGCATGGTAGGCGGAGGAGGTGCCTGCACCTGGGATGTACCAAAAGTGCGAAAGGGAGGACAAACTACTGATGTGGTGGAAAATGATGTGATTTTTTTGGAGGTTGCACTAAAGAAGCACGTGGCCGATCAGGCCTTTGCATCAGGTATGGTGGGGTTAAGAGATGCAAGGCAGAAGGATACACTCGTAGTATTGAGGGCCAAGTTGTCTTATGCACATCTCTAGGTGGTGGACATTGTTGCCAATTCCCTAGTTGTTCAAAGAGTGCACGAGGAAACACCTTATTTTGCAAAGCCCATGGTGGTGAAAAACGTTGCATGTTTGCTGGCTGCAAAAAAGGAGCTAATGGGACCGACCACACCTCTTTGCAAGGCCCATGGTGGTGGAAACCATTGTCTCTCTGATGGTGGTGGGATATGCCCCAAGAGTGAACATGGAGGCACAAGTTTTTGTGTTTCTCACAGGGGTGGGAAGAGGTGTGCTGCCAGGATGCACTAAAAGGCAACGACTAATGCACTAAAAGGCAGCGACTCATTCTTCCTCCTTAGCAAACATGGACTCAGATTCAATTCATTCACTCGAGAAGTACGCTAAAAGGCAACGACTCATACATACAGGTATTGGTTCTCTTGTCGATGAAGGTTTCATCATCTACTTCCGGTCCCTTGCATTCATAGAAGCAGGATGACAGAACCTCTTGCAGAAGCGGAGCCAGAATTTTAACTTTATGGGTTCTGGATTTCAGAACAACGATTTTAAGAGCTATTAATTGGGTTCTAAATTTAATATTTGTACGTATTTAATAAATTTTTTAACATAAATACACTGTTTGAGCAAAAGCTACTGGGTTCGGCCGAACCAGCATTCGACCTTCTAGCTCCGCCACTGACCTCTTGCCTGGGAATTGAAAGAAACGACACAAATAAAAGCTTTAATTTCAGAAAAGATACCTTGAACTGTTTGTAACAAGACAAGTTTGGAATATTGGTTAAGCGTGGACTTGTTTGTTCAGACAATCACATGCTTTCTAAAGTGAAGGATAATTACTTGAATAAAAGTAGTTGACATAATAACTGAATTTGGCTATAGCGTTATTACGTTTTAAATTTTAAATTCACTGTAGTCCATTTGGGTAGTTATTATTAGGACGAAGGCTAAATAGGGAAGCTATTGCAGGTAACCGGAAAATGAAGACTCTGTTTTGGCGGTGTCCCTCCAAAGAGAAGACTGTTGACGGATCCTATAAATACCACGTCTTCTTCATAACTAAGAATTAGGGTTCATAAAATCACTATCAGTAGAACTCTTCTGCTTCTACACCTAGACGAACTCTGAAAATACGCATCACAAACATTCTCTGAAGTTCAAAATACTCGGAAATCGCACGCATACGGTTTCGCATTCAAAGTTCGAAGAACATTCACGAATCTGCATGAATGCATTCACATCTCTTTGAGGTTCTCTTCTCAGTTGATTGAATTTATCGTTAATTTCCGCATTAATTTCTCTTTTTCATATATGTTATCCGATTTTTACGCCTCGATTCCGATTCAGTAAAGTTTGAACATTTGGTGAGAGGTCAAACTCAAAACTCAAATCTCGAAAGTGAGCAAACTGATTTTAGGTTTTAATATGTTCATTTGACATTCTATCTTGTTGTTAATCAGTTAAATTTTTTGAATTTTATGTGCTTCTGAATTGTGATTGCTTGAATTTGGATGAACTTACGGTAGCGGTAATGATTAGAAAAACTCAGATAATACTGAGGTTCTCTTCTTAATTAATCGTATTTATCCTAAATTTCCGCATGAATTTATCATTCTCATGTATATTATCCAATATTCCGACTTGATTTCTTCTAACAATAAAGTTTGAAAATTTGGCGGGAGCTCATACTCAAAAATCGAGATCGAAAGTCAGAGCGATCAAACTTTAGTGTAAAGATGCTTAATTAATACTATTCGATTTAAATTAGGGTTTCCTTTTGATTTTATATGCTTGTGGTTTGTGATTGCAGAAGAATTCGAAGAAAGCATGGATTTGTTTTGCGGTAACAGTAACGATTCGCAAGCTTCCAAAGTCCAGTCCTTGGATGTTTCACCAATCAACTCTCAAAACTTCATCGGCCGTGGCCGTTTTTATCCTGGACCAAAAACTCGGATCCTCGACCCTTACACGTCTTCAGATAGTTCTGGTAGTTCTTCCAATAGAGTACTCTCTCCGCTAGCCCGGTACCTTCATTCCAGCTCGCCGGTGTCGTTTGCCAGCGATTCGCCGGAGCGTCGTTCTCTAGTAAATACTAGCAGCGGAAGCAGAAGCGGTTCCGGCAGCGGCGGCGTTTTCCGTTCGCCTCTAGCTTCGATTGAGAATATCGAGATTCTGCCGGCGTTCAGGACTCCGGTGAAAGTCGAAGAGGATGTGGTAGTCATGGACGGCATTCTCGTTGAGCCGAAACATGGCGCAAGAGCTAAATCTTCGCCGTCAACGTCAGATTCCGGTGGAAGGTGGTCGTCGTCAACATCAGGAAGTGAAAATAGCTCTCACATGTCGGAAGTTTGTCGGTGGTGGGGGGATACCGGCACGTGCCGCTTTGGTTCCAAATGCCGGGTCTCTCTCTTCTCTTTCTTCTCTCTCTTTCTCAAAGGAATATGATCCAATGCTTCTGGAATATTCTTGCACTCATTGAACGGTTGAGATCAACTTTCTAGTTTTGACATTGATCTCAACCACAAATTTTCTCATTCATAGTCAACTTTACTAAAATGCACAACTCAAAACATTTATCCCTTCAATTAAACAGTTTGTGCACGGAAAAGAAGATTTACGCCCAACTGCTTTCGCCACCTGGAATCATTCTGAGGTATTAACATTTTAACTAAATGTATTTACCGCTGAATTTATCTTTTTTAGGATTATAATGTATCAATTAAAGTTCATTGTGAAAAATCATTGTGATCATCTTCACATGGTTATGTTTGTAGGCACCGAGCAGCAGGTCATACAGTTCAGGATCATGTGCATATGGACCGAGGGGCCGATCTGCTCATCACCAGGTCCACTCAGCCGCGTCTTCAACAGAATCAGCAGCAATGGCCACGCCTACTGCTGTCAAAAAAATTGTGTCAACTAAAGACAAAGAGCCCCCAAGCAGCGACAGTAGCCCCAGTTCCACCACCTCCACAATTGGTATCTCTGGCACTGACTGGTCTCCCTTGGATGATAATATCGAAGTTTCTTTGCCTTCTGGTGAAAAATGTCCTTCTAGGGAAGATGTTGATGCTCATATACAGACTGTTCTCTATGGTCTTTCTGGAAGGAAGAGATTGCCAGTATGTGTTGAATTTTCTGAGGAGTAGCTGTGCCATATTCCCAAGTCTCCCTTCTTGCCATCAACTACCAATAAGGTAATCAAGAGCTGTTAGTTACTTCCTTCAAATTTCAAAAGGATTGTAACTGCTTTTGTTGCGTTGCAGATTTGACAACTTCTGGAGTAGTACTATCATAACAAAGACTATTGTCAAATAATATCTAGGATATGAATGGACAATTGGACATGGATCATACAACATTGAATTGCTTAGTGTTTTTGGCTGATACAGAATAAAACTGGAAACATACTAATAGCTGATATGAAGTGCAGGGTTGCAGGGGTCTTGCCCCAAATGATCTCAGTTTACCAAAATCAAGATGTTCGATATTCTTTTTTGTAAATTTGCTTCCTGAATGTTGAGCTTTTGTATAAAAAATCAACATAACATCACCTACATATCGCAGCGGATAGTCCCTGAATACTCTGAGAACTGTTTGCTTAAGGCAATTAGGTTCAACTTTACCAATCAATCAAAGTGAGAGGTACTAAATTTGCCTTGATCCTTGCCATGATTGTTTTTAGGTATAACTTCGCGCAATTATACAGTTTCTTTTGTTGTGCTAGTATTTTTCATTTCACCCAGTAAATAGGTGAGAGAAGTAACTTGCTCGAGGTACAGGATAACACTAGGACTGAAATTCGTAATAAATTATTCAAATTTTGACGTCTTGGCTATAAAAGAGAGTACAAGGATTTAAATTCTATTCGAATTGTGACAGCCTGACCATTTTAATGTCTTAGCAGAAATTTATCGTGCTAGTGTTTGAGAACCAGTATAAGGTTCACCACTTGTAGCTCTAAATTTGTAAAGTGTGTTGATAATAAAATCAAATTTCCTTGGTTTTAGTAGCTCAAGCGCGTAGGTTTATAAAGAAATGCTGGTCGTCCTTAAGGTGTGTTCGCTACAAAACAGTTCTGAAAGTTATTTACTTATGGGAAAAAGAGGATCAGATTTTATGTGTTTGCCTTGGTTTTAGTCAATCTATGAATCAGGCATTTGAATTTCGCTGTTGTGCGTAGCAAGTTAACGTGTCCTTTTAAGGAATATTATTCTCATCTGTTCAATAATTTGTGATGAACCTGAATCTCCACTCACATCTACCAATTAGATTGGTTGGCTCAACAAATTTCTACCGTGATGGGGTGATTGCAAGTGGGGAAGGAAGTCTGGACGTTGGTTTTCGCCAGTGCCGGGTGGTAGGAGAAAGAGGAGTTGATGTTTTTATTTTCCTATTTTTCTCTGCGTCGAAATTTCTATATTTAATCTACGAAACGAAAATAACCTGAATTTTTACCACAGTAAAATGGCATGGCACTTTATGTCACCAAAGTGGCTGGAATGATTTTTTTTGAGGTTCAGGCAACTACATAATAAATAAATGATTTAGTAGTTGTAAAAAGGCCCCGCCTCTTGACATTCTCTCTCTAGACTTTCTCTCTCGGCGCACGGTTGAGCGTGCATGCTATCTTGCGCTGATCGAAAAAGGGGAGAGGACGACTAAAAAAGAATGTAACAAAGGTTCAATTAGCAGAATTCATAGCATCAGGTAGTAGAAGTAGGAATTTGGGAAGGAACTGTGGAAATGATTCACAATTAGGAACCCTAACTTGCGGCAAAGGAACACCGGTGATATCATCCAATTCTGTAGGATTGAGCACCATGCAGACGAAGCTAACGCATGATCTGGGGAGTTTGAGTCCTAATGTGAGGAATTCTACACCTCAATCAGCTGTTGTGAAGACTGGTATGGGAAATTCAGAAGAAATCATTGTTCCATTGGTCGATACTATTCCATTAATGGAAACAGTGAAGAAGCAAAAGGAGAAAAGTACAATAGTAGAAGAAGTAACAAAATCAAGTAATACATGTACTACAAGCAACACAAAGCACATGGAGGAGCAACAAGGTAAGAATCAGAATACTACAAAGGCACTAGGTGAAGAGGCAGTAAAACCAGAGTTGGGGAAAACTGAGAAAAATTGGGCAAATCTATTCACTAGCAACAAACCGGCTACAAAAGGAATGGATCTAGTGTTCATACCACCTACCATTCATGATGGAGTAAAGAAAGTGCAGTTACAACAGGAGGAGATGGAGGTGGAAAATGCGAAATGGTAGAAGGCTATGATCTTGTATGTTATTGGAGATTCAGCTTCAATAGGAGCCATGGAGAGATTCATAGCAGCATAATGGAACTTTGCTGCTAAACCAAAAATATTTTATCACAACGAAGGGTATTTTGTTATATTATTCAATAGCATGGATGATAAGAATGAAGTGTTGTATTCAGGGCCACATAGCATGGGAGTAAAGCCATTAATTCTAAAATCATGGTCGACAGATTTTAATTTGTATGATGAAGTTCTTAAGACTATACCATTATGGGTTAGTTTTCCTAATCTTCCTTTGAATTGTTGGGGAAGGATGACTCTAAGCAGAATTGCTAGTGGATTGGGCTGCCCTATCTATGCTGATGAATGCACAACCAATACATCCAAGATCTTTTATGCCCGAGTCCTTATTGAAATGGATATCAGTAAAGAGCTACCTAAATGTATTAAAATACAAGATCCTGCAGGGAAGGAGTTTGAATAGTTGGTGGAATATGACTGGGTGCCACAATATTGTAAGAAATGCTTGATGGTGGGACATGATTGTGATGGAGAGCAAGGCAAAGCTGGGGTAGCTAGGAAGAATTTTCAAGGAGAGCAGCAACTGTCACACCTCCTTTTTCCGGCACCGCGAGGTGCGTAGGGAGTTTTTTCCAATTAAAGGA